GAGAGTGATGAAATATTGAGCAGGCATCAGTGTGGGTGTCCTCTCCATTAACACGAGCAGTGATCCTTTCAGAATTCAAAGCAATTCTTACATTGTTTTAAAAAAGTACAAAAATCAATGAGGTCATAAATTATATGATGGCAAATCTCTCTCTCTCTCTCTATAGTAGTCAACATTTGAAGTGAATCAAAAATGTTTTTTTCAAAACAAGAACACATTTTGGTTTCAGGTTTTAGGACAACTTTGATGAAAGTTTTAATCCACTTAAAATGTTGACTAGTGTATATATGTGTGTGTAAAAAAAAAAAAATAATAAAAATAATCACTTTCATGTTGTTCCAAACCTGTATGATATTCATGCTTTTAAAAAACAAAAGAAGACATTTTGAAGAAAGTTGGGAACTAAACAACACTGGAGCACATTAGCTTCCATTGTATGAACATTTTCTTTTGTATTCCGAAGAAATTCATACAAGTTTGCAAAGACACAAGGTTTAGTAAATGATGACAGCATTTTAAAGTTCCTTGCAAACTATGTTAAATATAAATGTTCTTTTTAGAAATCTACAAAATAGTATGGGAAACTGACATTAGAATGTCAAATATGACAAATATGGTCATACATTTTTCTTGTGCAGTTCAATGTTCAGTTCTCTTTTACATTTACATATATTTATCTCAATAAAGTTTACTCATATGACTATGAACGGAAACATGTGAAACACGCAATATGGCGAAATAAGTCCCGCCTTTTGGCAGTCACACTCTTATGACCGCACATGCTCATTGGCTGGACCAACACATTTGAGAATAAAAATAACATAGGACAGTTCATGTCAGAATTGGTTGTCAATTCAAAGTATTAATTGAGATTTTGCTATTTCCTCAATCAAGTAGATAATAGTTGGTCATGTATGGCTGGAATAGCTGCCTGGATGTGATGTAAATACCTGCTAAGTGAACTGACTTTTCTTGATAGAGACTTTGCTAAAGCAGATGCTTAATAGGTCAAAGTTCATTCCCACCATTGAATAGATTCTGATGCTTAAGACTGGCCAGAACTGACATAGATCTGTACAGCTTATCCCCCTGACTTCAGCTGCTAACAGTCTGCTCTCTAAGCAGATGAGTAGTGAGGGTTAAGTGGCTTTAGCTCAGTGAAGAATGAGGCTGATGAGAGCAGACTAACCAATACTCAAGGCACATCCAGTTAGATGCACAGGGCAGATGGAACTGTGTATGTGTATCTAATCAGCTTACGACCGCCTGTGAGGGAGCCCATGGGTCATGAGTGACATACATTGGCGGCTGCTGTGCTTTGTGGTTTACATCAACACACCACATGCCCTGCACTGTAAAAATAAAATAAAAGGGAAAGATTGTGCATTAAGACGGTCTTATTTTTCCTGCGTAGTTCAGCAGATATTAATCTGTTTGTTCATGAAACGCAAAATGTCTAATTCACCCAATAAACTGCTGTGAAGGTTTCTCATTTGGTCACCTTTTCATTCTTTCATATGGTTTTAAATGACCCTTATTATGTAATAAACTCTAAAATAATTTTAAAAAAAAAACATCTTGTGAAGTAGAAGCAGCACACATAAACTTCAATAACGGTGACACATCAACAAACCTCAAAAGTAAAATTCTTAACATCACCAAAAATATCTAGCAAAACAACATCATCAGCATAAATACAGCAGCACAAACTAAGCCTATAAAGCTAACTGCATAATTTATTCATGTTACAGTGAATGCAAGGTACATCCACACTCCAAATTCAGCAACATTGTTCACAGTACATTTGGGAGACTATCATTTGTCTCATGTTTTATATAGATTCAAAGTAATTCACATTTCTCATTTGCAATTTAAAAAGCCTCTGGATAAAATGTAATTCCTTTTTTCACAGCCTCACTGGTGCGATCCCAAGAAAGTCACTACGCACTAGTCTGATCTCTGTGATGTGTTTAATATGTGATCCCATTGTAATATCTAGAGAAAGCAGGGGAGCAATGAACACACTAGAATCTGATTATTAGAGCATAATACAGTCAGTTATGAAACTGTAACTAAACAAATTCTTCTCATTATCCAGAAGTGAAAATTAATATACATTGCCGGAGGCTCACAGGTGCAGAAGTGTTTATTGTACTTTGTGTGTTCCTGAGTAAAGCAGCTGGTGTAACAGTAAACACTGTATGAGTGCACATATCCCTCAGCGTCTCTAGTTCACTCACACTATCATCTGTCTACATGAGTTCACTGCATTCACCAAAAAACACACTTCACCCCAAACCACCTCTCTAGGGAACAGCATTATCCTAAATCTTACTCACCCTTACACCAGTTTCATTTTCTTGGATTAAAATGGGAGGTTCTTCAATAAAAACAAATTGGCTGGTAGAAGATGCTGTTAATCACAGCTCTGGCCTCTTCATCTTCTTCTAACATGGTCACATCCCCCTCTCTCCCTGGCTGTAATTCTCTACTTGTCTGCTCAAGGTTGGTCATAATTCACAGGTGACTGGGGCAACAGGCTGCTGCTGAAACAGAGCCTCAGACACGTCCTCAGGCAACAATATTTTACAAAGTATAATATGTTTGGAAGCAGAGGTCGTATCCTTAAAGAGATGAAAAAATAAGTTTCTCTCATATGCGAAGTCTTTGGACTCAGATGACTTTCACTGTATAGCCAAAAGCATTATAACATTTTTAATGAAAATAAATTGTTTCAATTTAAAGTTTGTGCGATAAGTTAAACACAAAATATGAGCAAACCCACGTTCACAGCTTTGGATAACAACATCTGTTCAGTTCAGGTTTGGATTTTGCTTCATGTTAGGCTGTATCTGCTGCCTTTATATTCAATACACTCCGTCTCAAGGGACAAAAATTTGTAATCATATTCAGAATGACATCTGTTCTGGATCTTCATGTAAAGTGGCTTTCAAATATGTTGCACCCTGGATTAAAATGTCTTTTCCAGCAATCTAGGTCAAGTTTTAAACTACTCAAATCATACAGAGAATAAAGAACTCAAAACTTGTTTTCAAAAACATCATATCTTTATTGACATCTTCAAAGGACCGATTTTGCATTCGACTCTTTCCGAGTCAATGGTAAACTTCAGAGAACATGCAGAACTACCATGTTACCCTCCTATTTCAATAACTACTGCACTGAACTGTTTGAGGGTTTGTACCTTTTTGTGTCTTCTTTCTGAATGTGCTGCCAGAGCAATGTATTTCAGTTGCGTTTACCTCTTCATGCATTTAAGGCTATATTTAGATTGCACAGTCTAGGAAAAAAATAATTTTGGTTATTGTGCTTTTTTAAATAAAGAAAATCATTCTTTCAAAAACTCTCAACCAAAAGTGAACATTTGTGTGGCCTCATGACTTGTCTATGTGCACATTTTCAACCAACTTCCATCAAAATTGCATTTTTCTTTTCGTAAGGCTTTCCTTTATCACTACAAGTGCGAAAACTCTGCAGTAAACTGATTTAACAGCTTTGATTCCCCTGAGAGCATTGAGCCAAACACTCTCTCCGTTCTGTCAGCTCTCAAACCTTACCTGTCTTACACAACTGTTTAAAACATAACCTATCCGAAACACAAAAACAGGCAGAAGGAACAGTCACAAACAAACAAAACCCACAGAAATCATACATAAACATTAAGCTGAATGGAATGTCCATCCATATGTTTTGGAATGCATGTTTGAGAAGTGCACATCGTGCAACTGTGCTTTGCCACATAATACAGCTGTACATCCACGTGTGCATGCTGACAAGAGGCTCTCACATGCTTATATTTTGAACTTCTAAACTTATATTCAACATTAACAGTATACCAGCCATGTTTGCAGAGGAGCAACGCCTCTGTGGAAGCTCCAAATTCTTCACAGTATCATAGTCTTGCCTTCAAAAAAAAAAAAAAGTCTACACTGAACATCTGACGTACTTGTGAATTTGACACCTATGGAGCAAAAGTGTGTGCACAGTGAGCAGGGGTTTGTATGTGTCTCAGTTTCTACATGTGTGCACTTTAGGACTTAGCAGGCTGTCTCTCTGTTCTAGGTGTTGCTTATTAAACACATCCCTGAAGTCTTACTACCACTGACACCAAATGATGACCTCATAAACACAAGCATCCTAAATAGGTTAATTCATTCTTCAATTCTTCAAAGATTTCTAAAACTAGAAAGTACCTGCTTGATTTCCAATACTATGAACACAATGGTTCCTACAGGAATTAGCTTAGGCCACGGGTCTGACATACCCCCCCGTGAAACCTCAAAATTGTTCACAGTCTCAAAGTCTTTCCATAAAAAAAAAAAAAAAGTCTACACTGAACATCTGACGTACTTGTGAATTTGACACCTATGGAGCAAAAGTGTGTGCACAGTGAGCAGGGGTTTGTATGTGTCTCAGTTTCTACATGTGTGCACTTTAGGACTTAGCAGGCTGTCTCTCTGTTCTAGGTGTTGCTTATTAAACACATCCCTGAAGTCTTACTACCACTGACACCAAATGATGACCTCATAAACACAAGCATCCTAAATAGGTTAATTCATTCTTCAATTCTTCAAAGATTTCTAAAACTAGAAAGTACCTGCTTGATTTCCAATACTATGAACACAATGGTTCCTACAGGAATTAGCTTAGGCCACGGGTCTGACAGCACTGCTGTTAATACAGACTTTGTACCTGAACGGCACCAACACAGCAGATCGACTGCTGCTTTCATCATTCTCATCATCATCCACTCTTTTAGTGCCTTTAGCATTAATCTTATTGCTTAAAATCAAAACGTATCAAAGTCACAGTGCTGAGTCTGTAGTATTCCGCATCTAGAGGTACGTCATCCTTGCAGATAATGAGATACTCGAAAAACAACAGGATGTATCTATGTATGTAACAAACATCATCATTATCATCATAACAAACATGAACATTATCTATATAGTAAGGCAAATACAAACGAAACAAATATTTGTCAGAGCCTTTAAACATCTTCAAACAAGAACATAATAAATATTAGGTGTGTGATAGACATCAACTGAATACTACAGCAAGTCTCTATCTTATTTACATCGTCTCTGTCTGAGTAGACAACCAGAGAGAAGCTTCTAGACATTGGAGATATTTTGGGAGGCATCCCGTGCTTGTCGAATACCGTAGAGCCACTTTATGACACGCGCGTTCCTCTCAATGACCGAAATGCCGCAAGGAACACGCTCACTGGGCTTTATAGGCCCATCGTCATCGCAGTCATCCTCCTCCTCTCCTCGTCGTCCATCCCCACACTCTGAGCTAGGTGTACTGACGCTCCGGAGTTTGGAGACCGAAACAATGTCTGAATTTGCCCGGGCAAACCGCTCCACACCACCCATTCCTTCCACCTCATCTGGGTCCAGTCCACAGTAGTTGAAGAAGCGCTCCAGGTCAGCAGTGGCCCGAGAGTAGCGGTCGCTCAAGTCCGACTTGGAGCGGTGGAGGGAGGGATGCTTCCGGGTTGAACCGGGACGTGACCCTCGAGAGCTGGCTGTGGAAATGCGGGTGAAAGCGGGGGAAGCCGGGGGTAGAACGCCAGGGCGTAGAATCAGCGGGCTGAAGGGGGTGCAGGGGGATGCAGGGTGAGTTCCCGAAGGTTGCTGCTGTGTTGGAGGTGCCTGTGGCTGAGCTATCTGTGGTTGAGCTACTTGAACTTGTCTAGGTTTGGGTTGAAGAGGCAATCTCTGAGGTTTCCTGATCTCTGCCTGTGGTCGCACATCCACCCGTCGTACAGTTACGGAGTTGGGGGTCCCGTAACTACCTTGTGGTACCAGCCGGGGAGCTCTGGCTGGGACCGGAGGCGGCTTTCGGCTGGGCTCAGCAGGTGAGGACTGATTGTTAAGAGGAGAGGAGGTGCGAGAGGAGTTGGGCGTTGAGCCAAGGTGTGCTTTGAAGTTAATGCAGTGCTGAGGTTCTGCAGATTGTCCACTACCAACACTCTGACCTCCGGAAGAGGGTGAGGAGGCTGAGGGAGAAGGAGAAGATGGGGTAGGCGAGGATGTAAGCGGTCCGTCGCAGACGTTGATTAGATTATTGAGTACTTCAAGGTTAAGTTGTGGTCCTCTGCTAATGCCATGGTCCGGTCCTCCGTTCTCTGTCTCAAGTAGGCGCCGGGTAATCTTCCTTGCTGGTGGAGTGTTTATTCTGCACTGCATCATCATGCTTGGTGATAACAGCGGTTTGCGGATGATTGGGGGTTTCACAGGTTCTTGTTTATTGAGTGCTACTTGCTGACTCTTTACGTACTTGGCCTTGTCCGCTTCCAGGCGCTCAACTGCACTCAGCTTCCGCGTTCCTGGCTCGGGCGCTCTGCGGAAGTAGTCCGGGCCTTTGTTGAGGATTCGGAAAGGCATGGCAGAGGTGAAGGGACCCCCAGTAAGACGGCCATCTGTGGGATGAAGGGTCTCCACTGGCATGATTGTTAGCAGTGGGATTAATTTTTACAGGTGAAATGAAGGCTAAGGGTCAATGTTTCTGTTGCGTTCAAGAATGTCTTGCAGTCCCAAGAAAGACTTTTGTAGTCACAGGTCTCTTTATTCCTTTTCCTTTGTATTTTAAGTTCTTTTTCTCCACCTTCAAGGACCCCTTTAACTTTCTTACCAGTCTGAATACTCCTGCTGGTGCTACTTCACTATTTTTTGTGTGCTATTCTATTCTCTTGCCTCTATTATCTGTTCTCTCCCGAGTCCGGCTCATTGAATAGAGGCCCGTGGGATGGGGTCATAAAGGGTCGCATTCCACATCAGTCCGGCTGAGTGACCCACCAGGACGGCGCAGATCCTAAAGTGAGCTCCTTGCAGCTGAAAGGTTAGCAGAACAGTTTCTCTCAAACCCCAGATGTCCCAGACTTGTAAAACACTCCTTAAAAACCTGATCCTCTTTTTCTTGTAATCCTGGACTCTTTTCCTGGAGGTAGGAGAGAGAGAGAAAGATGCTGTCAGACATGGGCAGGCAAAGAGAGGATCTCCTCTCGCTCCCTCTGCTCCACACATATAACTGGAGTACTCTAGGGCGAATGGGGGCAGACATTTGGTTTTAATGCACTGTCTGGCCCCTCCCACTACAATCTTAAAGCCTCCAGATGCTGCATGCGGGAGCAGCCAATCAGGAAAGAGAAAAGAGTTCCAAGCACAAGAGGAGGAGAAAGGAGTAAGCCAGCAGTCAATCTCTGATTGGTCTAAGGTTGGAAAGCTGACCAATTGCACCCTTCCCCCCACTCACAACAAACACTCCTACTGAATTTTCTTTCAAATGTGATTCTTTGAAAAGAAACAAAAAAAGAAAAGGACAGAGCTAAAGAACAGCTGCAATCTTTTATATTCAGTTGCATCAAATAGTGGCATTTTATGAAAATATTTAAATGTCCTCCTCCACTTGTTCAGTGTTCATGAGCGCACAAAGGCGCTTTGTGTAGTATCTTTACAAAGTACATTATAGGCAGATTATCATCTTTTATATTCTGGTCTCAGACTAGATCTAGGCCAAGGCTCATTTAAATCTGTCTGAAACACTCATGAGCATGCACACAGCTTGTCTCAGAAAAGCTAGTTTTATAGTAAAACCGTCTTACCTTGAAATTTTAAACAGAGTGCTTTTCTCAAATCTGTGCTGGCTCAAATTTAGATATTTTCCCTCACTCTCTTTCTCTTCATCACAACTTCTGATGCTTTCATATTCCTCTTGATCCTCATTGTCAAGGGAGTGAAGGCAATTTGTCTTTTCTCTTCCCTATTCTCCTTTTTGTTACTGCATTAAAGGTTTGGATTTCATCATCAAGAGTGCTGAGAGGCTTGTTCCTTGCCGTTCATCATCATCATATTCAAATACACATTTTTAATTAATCTTTTTATAGCATGACTTCTAGTCTGGGCCCTCATCCCCGTTACGCTCCCCTCCCCTTCTTTCACTAATAAGATAGAAAAGACTTAATACAATAGAAAGAATCCTCCAACCAAGCAACAGTTCTTTTCATATCGTAAATATAGTCTTAAACTCTAATTGCAGAACAGAGTGAACTGCCTTTAGCGAAACCTGCTAATAACCTTTCTGACATTTGCCAGAAAGACTGAACAATAAATAGCCTTAATTGCTAAGAAATGAACTAAAATTTGACCCCATTTACTTTCCTAATGCATGTTCCTTGTATTATTGTGAACATTTTATCAGTGCATGTTTTTCCAGATACTAAAATAGTTTGGCTTTATTGCAAATCTTAATAAAATTTTAGTAGCTTGCTCTGAAGTTTCAGGGTCTAGTTGTTCATTTTAACTTCAATGTTATGCTGATCATCATTTAAATATGTAAAATGGGAACATTTAATGTAAAAATGTCTTGATTTTTCTGGCTTATTTGCCGTTTACTGTTGCTAATACTTCCATTCTGGTTTATGGATCATTCAGATATTTGACTCTGACTTGTACATTACTACGAGATTGAAACAGCAGAGAGACAGGCAAGTTAAAAGTAGGTTACCACTGGAGAAATGTCTTGTGTTGTAATGTTTCCATTACTAGAAATATAATTATTTAAACATTCTTGGCATGTTTCTGTCTGTTATTGTGTCTTATAAGAGGCTTATGGACAGAGTAATGCAATAAATGCTTATCCAGGTCAAATTCTGTGATGGATTTAGATGATGCACACACACATACAGCTGTCTCTCAATGGCCAGGCTTTTAATAGAAGGCACAGTTGCTCAGGACCCTGCTATGCTGTTAGGGGTGACCCTGCTATGCTGTTACTAGCAGCTCTAGTGTCCAAAAGTCAAAATGGATCATCATTCCTTCCCCTCCACATCTCTGTATTCCCCTGTGCTACACCGGCCTTTACCAAACACCAATATAGAAGAAAGCTCTTCCACAGGGACCATAGACCACAAGCATGAAGGCTTGTACATAAACGGATAACAATTAAAGCTAGCAGAAATTCAGCAAAACAGCAAAAAAGACAGCAAAGCAACTACCATATTCAAGGGCCAGAAAGGTTGTAAGGACATAATTAGTCCATGTGACATCAGTCGTTCTTCAACCTTAAAGACTTTGCACATGGACTATTTTGATGATGTCCTTACCACATTTCTGGGCCTTGAACGTGGTAGATCCCTTGCTGTCTATACAGGGTCAGAAAGCTCTCAGATTTCATCAAAAATATCTTAATTTGTGTTCCAAAGTTGAACGAAGATTTTACGGGTTTGAAATTACATAAGGGTGAGTAATTATTGACAAAATATTAATTTTGGGTGAACTATCCCTTTAACAGTATTTTCATTTTATGGCTGGTAACCTTTAAATGGCTGCTATTAAAAGTATATAATATTTTGTTAAAATAAAACAGACATGAAATCAATCGATTTAAACATGAAAAAACTAAAACTAGATTACATTGAATTCTTTTTAATATGCAATCAATAAAACCGCCGATATGCATCCAAAATGGTCAGATACAAACAAATGTTTAAAATAGATCTCTAATATTGGCAGATAATATGCATACCAAAATTTTGTACCTTTCTAATCCATACAGAACTTAACCTGAGCTTAAGCAATGATAAAAATAAAGTTCTCCCATGCAGACTGTAATAAGCAGGGTTTAGTTCTCAATTCTGGGTTGCAACCCACCAGCTGGGAACAACAGTTTAGAGCAATGATACTCACAGAAGTTGAAATCTTACTCATCTTACAGCACACAGTGATCCCAAAACCATTAAAGTGTTTAGGTCTCATGTAAAATAAGATCCCCAAACAGAAGCAAACACACAGTGGAATGTGAGGGCCAAAGGGGTGAGGGTGGCACGAACAGCCCACAGCTATGGGCACAAGCGTGGTGTGAACCGATTGAGATAACAGAAGCATTTCAGTGCTGAGCCAACTGGACCCAGAACACAGAGGGCATGGGGAGAGCCAGGAATACACACACTTAGAGCCACACATACCCACGTCAGACTGCCACAACCACAGAAACACACAGGCATCTCCAAAGCAAACCTTGCTGGGCACAAAATAAAGATCTGGTCTTGATTTCTGAAAGCTGATGTAATTTTCCCCACAGTGTTTAGTGGTGAACTGGACTGTTGAGCTGCAAAAACGTGAATAAAAAATGTTTGCTAACGGCTTGAGCATGGCATCTAACAGTGATGTTTTT